TTTCTTCACTCCTCTGCATTAGTCATACAGTATCGTTGTGTAATAGGTTCAGTCACGGTAGCACAGCAACTCAAACGCAACATCTTCCTTGAGGTCAGTTTTAGCACACAACCCTGGACTACACATCATGTAGAGATACTCGCCCACACTGCAGCGATTTATTTATTTATTTTTTATTGTATTTCACACTTTCAACACTAAATACAGTATAATGCATGATTGAGCCATGCAGCATTCCCATTTCTATAAAATTGGATTCTCAGTGTATGCCAATCCAAAAAATGTAAAAAAGGACAACTCTGTAACTTTGTTTTGGTAAAAAAAAAAATTCTGTAAGCATGTGAAAAAATCGGCTTGGATTGAGTCAAGTCCATTGGGATGTTAAATGAATTGTGATATATGTTTTGAACAGCAGGAATGCTGCAATCTCGTTAATGTCTTCAATAGTGACAGACAACAACAACACTGATATTTTCACCATAAGCTCCATTGTCATTCAAATCATTACCGGACCACAGAAGCAAAATGTCTGGTGCACATTGTCACATAGGCAGAAGATCTTACGACTTGTCATGTTCTTTGTTTACTGTCATTGATTTAATACGAATAAACTCTCTTTTAGAAACTTTCTGAGAAGATGTAGTTGCATAAAGATCGAGATCACTCCACACTATTAACTCGGCCAGTTTTGATCAGTTCAGTTGTAGTTTTAAATCGAAATGCTAAAAAGTGCAAAGTTGACAACAATAGAAAGCATTGTGAACATTTAGCAAATTTCTTTCTTTCTTTCTTTCTTTCTTTCTTTCTTTCTTTCTTTCTTTCTTTCTTTCTTTCTTTCTTTCTTTCTTTCTTTCTTTCTTTCTCTCTTTTCTCTTTCTTTCTTTCTTTCTTTCTTTCTCTCACGCTCTGTTTCTTTTATGCTCTCTCTTTGTCCCTTTCTAATGAGCATTTTACAAATTTGTATAGGAAATATAAATAACACAATGCTCTTATTTTATTTAATGGGAAGGTGTGTCCCAACACGTATTAAAATAAAAAACTAAAAAAAAAAATCAAAACCAAGACAAAGATTTAGTTTGTTTAAATTAAAAACAATAATTTGGGACATAAAGAGCTACAGATGGATTTGCTCTTAACTGTTTGGATTTTCAGCAGTGAAATTTAAACGGAACTGAACTGAACTGAACTTCAACTCTAAAAACTGGACTGACAGTTTATTAGAACTTCTATGTTAAAGTGCTTTGACACAAACTACACCGTAAAAGCACTAGAAATAAACTTGAATTGAAAAAAATAATTGATTATTTTATTTGTAGCATGCATTTTTTTACTTTTGATTTGAAATTTAGATTTTTTTAAAATCACATTTTAGTTTTGCCAGTTTTTTAATTTACAGTTTTTTTTTTATTCTTGCAGTTTTTTAATTTACCAAATGAACTCTTATTTTACAAAGACTTTGCAGCATTTGAGAAATAATTAAAGGGAACTTGGTCATTTCTAAATTGTCTCAAACTAATTTTGTTAAAAAATAAAAAATAAATAAAAATAAAAATACATAAAAATATCCTATTGTAGGATCAGTGTTGTGTATCGTATCAAATCGTCAGCTGAGTGATTCTTTGCATTCTTACTCACAATAGCAGATGGTAAGTTATAACTAGGCCCCATACCCAGATTTCCACAGATTTTTAGACCACTGAGTCATATTTATTTGCTTGTGTAAATTTGTTTAAAATTATATTTATTCAGTTTTTAATAATTTATATTTATATTAATTTCAGTAATATTATTGACCAACATAAAAATGTTTACATTATTTATCTACATTACAGTTTCTAAAGTAATATTTTTAGTCTTTTAGTAGATATATTATATAAGAGACTTGCTTTGTTTACCAAAAAAGTGCCTCTAATTGGATTTCCATTGTAAACATTAAAGTTTAAAAGGTATTATTTTTTATGTCAAATATTAAGTTTTAGTTGTGATACTCCCTAAATCGTTCAGCATAAATCCGCAAACTTTTTACTAAATTCTCAGCAGAAATAGCAAAAAATGTCAGCAGATTCTGTTTGGCCCTAGTTATGATGTGTGTACCAAAAACAAAACATTATAAACATTCAGCAGTTGATGCACTAATGAACATACAGTAGGAGTCTGCATAGTCTTCTGACATTCGAGCTGGACATTGTGGTTAAATTTCATTTTTAAAGGAACTCTGAAAACCGACTGACACAGTTTCAATTTATACTAGAACTTCTATGTTTAGCTGCTTTGGCACAATCTACATTGTAAAAGCGCTATAGAAATAAAGATGACTTAAATTGAAACATAGTAAAGAATTTCTAGAAATATTAGAGTGATATATATTTTACACTAGGCTAGTCTAGACAAGTTTCACCAAAAAGGAAAATGACACTGGAGTTGACGTCTTTGGAAAACACATGAAGTTGAACCACTTGTTTTTATGGCATATTTGCCAGACATAAGGCTCCTTTCACTTCTTTCTATTTGAGTCAACGTAAAGTGCATTCAGCATATGGTGGGGATTTTTACTGAGTCCTGAGCCACTCAAACAGCTCCCCAGAGGTCCATTATCATCTATTATTAACGTCTAAGGCAAGGCTTACACCCTCACAAATGTACTTTGGGTGCCACAGATCAGATTATATGTATTATTAGAGAGTCCAGCTACTGTACAGTAAGTGCCATACATGAGCAGATGTGTTATATATGGCTCCATGGTTTAGTATATCTACCAGGGGGATTCTCATTTACACAAAAACAAGATAAACAGTTCTATGTTTAGAGTTGAGGAGGAACTGAAATAATATTATATTGCTGGTTGCTAAAAATACATATCTGTATTCACTTACAGCTGTTTTTAAAAAGATTTGATCTGTTTTCGATACATTTTGCAAATCTTTTTGTCTGAAACATCATAAATGCCATGTTTGTATATTAAGGTTAATTTTACTGTCAAATGTTGTCAGAAAAGTACAAATACAGTAAAGGTAATGATGCAATTATGTACAAAACATGTTTTAGAAATCTTTAGTTACAAAAATTAATTGATACATTGATATTTTGTCTTAATGTTAATTGAATTATTATTCATTGCATTGAACTGTTAAATAGTATTAATAAAGCCAGAAATTCAAATTGTGTGTAAAAGATGCAAATTAAAATGAATCATTTAGTAAGTAATAAAGACATTACAAAAATATGCTGGTTTTTGCCTTTTATCTAAAATGTTAAATATTTATTTTTTCATAAGATCGTTATTTTACTTTGTAATAGCATAAATATTTGAAAGACATTATTTCAATGTTGAGTTTCTATTGTCAAAACATTTTATTTAGTACATTTTAAGCAAATGTCTCTACACTGTAAAAATGCAGGGCTTCACACAATTCCTTCATGTTGTGCCAAAACAAATCGATGAATGTATTACATGTATATTCTTTTTACAAATTGATTGAACACAAAAAAACTAAGTTGTCCCAAAAAAACCCTTATGAATTGTGTTGTTTCAGCTCATTTAAATTAATCGTTGGAACAAGCAGCAAAAGTAATGTTTTGGGTGTATATATTGCACATTACTGTATATTAACATTTCAGTTTAGTCAAAAAATGTTTTTAGAGTATCTGCAGTATTGTTAAAAGTAATACAATTGTTTACAGAAGATTTTCAAGGTTAGATTCACTGCAAATAAAAAAAAATAGTAAGTAAAACAAATATTATTGAAATATATTTTTTACATTTATAAATGTAACTTTTTTTTTTCTTGTTAGATATATAGTTTAGACCAGTGTTTCTCAACTACGTTTCTGGAGGACCACTAACATGTTTTGGATGAGTCCTTTGTCTATCACACCCATTACAGGGCTATTTCTCAATTCCAAGAACACAGAGAACGGACTTGCGTTCTTGTGAAGAGCGGTCTTGCCAGGTCACCTCGGAAGAACAAACTTGGGAGGCCGTGATAACAGAGAATGCGTCCTCTGAGAAATGAGATGGTGCGTTCTTCCTGACGTGACCTGCATGCATTTTAATGAAAAATTATTTAAACATAACAGCATTCATTTAATGATTTATTGTTTTTCCCACTTTTCACAATATATACTTTGCATTAAGACCTTACAAATATACTTTGCACAATACAAATCAAACAGATTTCGCTTATCTACCCTTAATGTGTTTATACCTTTAAAAGGATTTTTATGGTAATGTTTGCTTTCACCGTCTCATTTGGGGAAACTCCTGAGATAAATAAGTTATATCTCTAAACGTTAATAATAAATCCATATAAAATGCCATGCTTCCCACCTCCTCCATTCAGCCACTATGACTTCTGGGACTTCTCAAGCTAGTTTTGTGTTCAAGTCTGCATTGGTGCATCTTCGAAACCAAGAGGACATCCTGGATCTTTCCTGGATGTCATACGTTCTTGCGGTCTTGAATTTTGGAACTGAACTTTGGCAGTTGATGATGTCGTTACATGAGAGCACGAGAACACTAAAGAACGCATATTCAGAAACAACCCAGGTCTTTTGGTCTCTGCTAATGAGCTGATGATCTGAATCCGGTGTGTTTGGTTAAGGAGACATGGAAAATGTGATGAACGTGGTTGAGAAACACAGGTTCAAATAATTTTTCAGTAAAATAGCATTTACATTTGTGTAAAAAAAGGAATAGTAACTAAAGCAAAAGTTGCTGAAATGTAGATTTTGATTGTCTTTCATCTAAAACTTTACAATTCTTGAGTTTTATTGGGGACAATGTAAATGTTTTATGTTCAGTTCACTTAAGTTTGTAAAAACAATTAAGTTTACTTATTCGGTTTGTGGTGGGACAATGTGAAGGAATTGTGTGGAACATTTTTTTTTACAGTGTTCCATGTGTCTCAACTAACACAGTATTATAATTATCTGCATATTGTAAAATTTTAATTACTCAGCAATTTTAATCTCGCTCTTTCTCCTCTCACTGTGTGTTTCAGGTTTGGCGTGGTACTCTGGCCAGAATGCGTTACCGCCGCATGCGTGCCGCGCTCATCATTATCCGGGCATACAGACGATACAAGGTGAAGTCGTACATCCGTGAGGTTATCCGACGCTTCAAAAACGTCCGCGACATGAAGGACCACGGAAAACATGTGAAGTGGCCCACACCCCCTAAAGTCTTGCGCAAGTTTGAGGAGGCACTGAGGAGCATCTATAACAGGTGGGCATCTATGATGGTGGGTAGACTCTATGTGACTCATGGAACAGTCATATATGAGTCCAGATGTGCCCGGTGTAAAAGTAATAAAGTGAAATGTCTCTGACTCAATGCATCACTTTCAAGGCTTTATCATTGTTAGACAAGGAATTTTTTTTTTTTTGCTGTAGGCTTTTGTGTTTCATTGGTGTTTAAGCACAGAACAGAAAGGCTGTCTTGTGTTTCACTGGGCTGTTGTGCCCGGAGCACATATTGATCTTTGGATCAAAGTCTTGTTGGAGATCTGTTCACAATAGCCTTAACACGTCTCTGACCTCGAGAAAACAATAGAGAAAAACAACTTGTTAAAAAGTCCAACTGTGTCCAACATTATTTAGATGTTAATGACATAGAATAAAAATAATGTTATATTATTAGCAACTTGAGTGAGAAATCTCACTGAGATGAGCTGAAATTACTGCTATTTACTAATTATCAACCTTTTCTCTGTATTTTGTTGTTTTTTGGATTAATGTAGAGAAATATGCCAATTTGGGCTATAAAAATAATAATGTTAAACATCTTATTTTTCATTTGGAAGAAATCACATTAGTAGATTACAGTTTGTGGCATTAAATAACAAAATTGTCATATATTCAGTCATTTATATTAATATAGTTTAGACAATACAATGCTTTAACTTTATAAAAAATAGTGGACATTTGGTGGTATAGCCCTGATTTTCAATTACGATAAAAGAAAACTTTTTATATTTTTTTATATTTTTAACTTTATGAAACAAAAAACCCACATGATAATGTTCTAATTTAAAACTTTATTTAGTATGATCATTTTTTTTATTATTGTTTACTTGGATGTTATGCAATTATTATCATCCTCCTCCTGAACCTGCAAAAATGTTCATGTACAGGGTGATTTAAAAGGAGAATACCACAACTTTGAAAATCGAGAACTCTGCAAAGAAGAAAAGGAAAGCTAAGCTCTGTCTATCATTGATTTAAGGAAGCTCTGAAGTTTTGAAAAACTTAAAGTACTCTTCACATTGATTAATTACCCATGGTTCCATCATGTTTCTTTGAATAAATACAGATTTTCAAAGTTGTGGTATTCTTTTTGAATAACACTGTATTTATTTAGGTAGTACTATTTATTGATTATTCATTTTTTTAACAATGTTTCTTTTTTACACGCAGAAATTATACAGAAAACAATGTTTGAATTTGAATCCCATATCTTCCGTGATCAGTCAAAAATAATTAATTATCTGTACACAATTTAAACGACAAAAGTGTAAGTCAAATTAATTTACTTCAGTATGTTTCACTTTAATTTCTACATATTTTGAGACCAACTTTAATTCATTTTCTATTCATTTATTAATTTTCCTTTGGCTTAGTCCCTGTATTTATCAGGGGTTGCCACAGTTAAATGAACCGCCAACTTATCCAGCATATGTTTTACACAGCAGTTGCCTTTCCAGCCAATCCAGTACTGAGGAACACCCATACAATCTTCCATTTCCACACATTCACTATGGCCAATTTACCTTATTCATTTCACCTGTGCCGCATGTCCTTGGAATGTGGAGGTGACTGGAGCACCCAGAGGAAACCCACACAAACACAGGGAGAACATGCAAACTCCACACAGAAATGCCAACTGACCCAGCTGGAGCTCAAACCAGCGACCTTCTTGCTGTGAGGCAACAGTGCTAACTATTGAACCACCGTGTTCAATAACAGTATAATGATCAATGTAATGATCAATGATCAAGAATTTTCAAAGCAACATTTATATTGTATTGCATCAAATGCTGTATAAAATAGTTTTTTCGTGTATTTGTATTGTATATGTAGATGGTGGGCCTGGACGCTGATTAAACCCCTTTCTCCAGAGAAGACTGTGCAGATCAGGGCAAAAGTGGCCACATTGGAGTGTCTGAAGGGTCAGAGAGCAGATCTCGGACTGCAGAGAGCATGGGAAGGAAACTACCTGGTTAGTGTTTAAAATGTTTAAGTATTTGAAACTAACATCTGGTTTAAATAAATTACAATGCATGTTTAACAAGTTTTTTTTGTCCTGTTAGAAAAAGGACAGTCCTGGGACAGCGTCTTCCTTTACTCTGGTGTCCAGTGATCTGCAGAGGAAAGATAAGTTCATGAGAGTCCTCTTCTCCAGCAATGTCCGCAAAGTATGTGCTTCATTGTTTTCAGACTGTCAGCATAGCAAGAGTGGCATTGTTAATATTAACCTCTGCAATATTATCATCTCAACAGATCAATCGCTTCAATAAAGCAGAAGACCGAGCGCTGCTCATCACTGATCGCCATCTCTACAAAATGGATCCCCTTAAGCAATACAAGCCCATGAAGAGCATCCCACTCTATAATGTAAATATCAGCACTGTTCTAACTCACTTAATCATAGCTTGCATTCACACTGCAGCATAATATGTCTGCCAGTCATATTTGTGATTCATACAGTTTGATAATGAAAAAGAATGCCAATCACATCTTTAATTGTAGGAAAATGACAATGGATAGCTCATATGATATTATGTTCTTATGAGTTGAATTCAAATCGTATTGTTTTTACATCCTTCCTGATTTTGTTAATCCTTAAACCCAAAGCATTTCATTCTGTACTGAATTTGTGGTAGAACATCTTGTCTTTCCATTTACAGTTTACATAACATATAGTAGCTTGGGTCAAGCCGTTGTTTAAGGATTATAGCTTTAAATGGATTTAGATTTGGAATGCTGTCCATGAGGTATTTATTTATTTACTAATGTATTTTTGTTTTTATTTTTTTATTATTATTATTATTATTTTTTAAAGGGATAGTTCACCCCAAAATAAAAATATACTCACTATTTATAGTTTCTTTCTTCTGTTGAACACAAAATGCTCATAAACAAAGAAGATATTTTAAAGAAAACTAAAAACCTGTAACCACTGACTTCCATAGTACTTGTTTTTTCTTCTATAGTAGTAAAAACAAATACAATGGAAGTCAATGGTTACAGGTTTCCTGTTGTCTTCGAAATATCTTCTTTTGTGTTTAACAGAAGAAAGAAACTCATAAAGGTTTGGAACAAGTAGTGAGTAAGTAAATGATAACAGAATTTTCATTTTGGGGTAATCTCCTTTAATATAACATTTGATCATATAACATATAACATTTGTTTAACTTTGCTACTGTACATACTTTGTTTTTAAAATCACAGCTCAGATCATGAAGGGAAAACTAATATTTTGGTAGAAATCATGCTGCATTGCTTTTTAGTAAGCCAAGTTGTGACGGCAATGCTTTAGTTTGTTTGGGGACGAATTAGATTGTGGTGGGTTGTATAATACTTTATTATAACATTATCTTGAAACGCACTAGTCCTTATATGTGTTAAAATAATACAAATTATTGCCAGTGAAATAGCACATACTACATACAATCCAACAGTTGAATAAACATCACCATATATCAAAAGAATCATACACTCAATAGCTAAATTCTTCATCAGTCAAACTGACATAATTTTTATTGAGATATAGATAGCATACAGTATAGCGAAATGTCACTCGACTGCTTTGTTTGGATTTTAGCAACTATATTTTTGACTCTTTATGCAGTTTGTGGTCCGACTTGTTATATTTTATGCAATTAATCAAACTAAACTAACACACCCTATTGTAGTGAGAGCAAAATAAATGAATTAACATGTCCTGCCCCTTAACAAACTAAACTAACACATCCTATAGTAGTGAGAGCAAAAGAAATGCATTAACACATTAAATTATAGTATAAATCCATCAGAACTCTCTGTTCTTCATCTCACACAAACATCAATAGATTTTTTAATTGCTTTGTTTATGGTTCAGATAAGAAATTGCTTCACGCTGATAAATCTATGATTGCTGGAATAGAGCAGTTAACATCTCTTGATTAGCAGAAGGTCACTGCCCGGCTGAACCTGACCTGCCCCTCACATATATTTATTGCCCCAGCAACAGAGAATCACACCAGTCAGGGGAAATGGGGAAAAATTATTTATGTGACACTTCACACCTTGAAGACATAAAGGACATCACGGTCGCTCATTGCATTATTAAATGCTTTTGCTGGAAGCATGTCCTAGAAAAATACAGAGATATTATCCCAAAAAATAAATAAATAAGCACCACGCTAATCCCCCCCAAAACAATCCACTCTGCTCCTCCTCCTCTCCGCATCCATCTCCCTCTCCTCTGTTGTCATGCCAACATCCCAGGGGATGGGGTTGTCATGGTGACGGAGATCAGCTGATGTCTAGTATCGTTCCGGCATGTGCACAGATTTGCCTCCTCTGTGTGCTCCTTCTGCTCAGGCTTGTGTGTGTCTCTTCGCACTTCTGTGGTGTTTCTTTGTTTTCATCTTCTCTCTCCTGTTGCAGGCTCTTTATATTCTTGAATGCTCTTTGTAGTCCTCATTTGTAGTCATTTATGAGTCATTTACCTCATCATGATGAGTGGAAATGATAATAAAATCAGTATAGAGAGGAGAGAAGAAGATTTACACCCTATAGCACACAGAAATACACTGCATGATATCAATATTTGACAAAAGAGTAGGAGCTGTAGTATTATGTGTTTGGTTAGCGATAATGAGACTCATTCGATTAGAGACTCCAGGGATTCTCAATCCATGTTTCTATAAGTATTATGGGGATACACTCTTAAAGTGCCCTTATTATGATTTTTTTTCATTAATGTTATCGTCCATTAAGTATGTATGTGAAGGTAAAATGTTTGTAAAAAAAAAAAAAAAAAAGAAATCAATTCAGTCGACAGGAATTCCAGTTATATGTACATAATGCCGTAATAGTTTCCTCATTGGCAGCATTGGATTTTCTGAATCCCTTGCATGTATTCTTGCATTTATGAAATAGTTCTTCTAGGATCTCTTTACATCTATGTAATAATTGCATATAAACTCTTGCATCTATGAAATGATCATGGATCAACTTTCTGCTTGGTATGAATTGCTTGTGCATATACTCTCTTTACTGATGTTGTGCTTGTGATGAAGGTTTTGGTTGATCAACCAGTTTATCAATGTCATCATTGGACACTGACTTCAACTGATGTACAGTAGTAAAGTCGGTCACACTTTACAATAAGGTTCATTAGTTAATGTTAAGTAATGCATCTACTAACATGAACAAACAATGAACAATACATTTACTACTGTATTTGTTTATGTTATTTAACGTTAGTTAATGAAAATACAGTTGTTAGTTCATGTTAACTCACAGTGCATTAACTAATGTTAACAAGCATGGACTTGAATGTTATTATTGCAGAAGTAAATGTTCAATTATGATTAATAAATGCTAAACAAGTGTTGTTCATTAATAGTTCATGTTAGTAAATGCATTAACTAATGAACCTTATTGTAAAGAGTTATCGTAAAGTCTCCGACTCGCACTCAACTTTATTACCCCGTTTAGATAAACTAAAATTGCACCAAGGTGCCGTAACACAGGCGAAGTTCCATGTACACATTAACAAAATATAACCACACAACATACAATACACATCATTTTTAGGTAAATCTCCCTCACCGCTGGACTCATTTAATGACCTAATGGCCACCATTTTAAAAGAATTCCTAATTTTTTTTTCTCCTGCAAATAGAAGCTCTAAAACGATATCCTGATGTCAACAGTTGAAACATAGAATACAATGGGTGATCCGGGGTTTATGAGATACCCTAAGCTCTGTTTAAAACATAATTATGGTAAATTACCATTGGACTAGTTTGGTTAAAACCAATGATCTTGCCTGCCACCTTCACCAGGCAACACAACCTGTTTTTATTTGACAAAGTCTGATTACCGTACCAAGCTACAACGCAAAAAAGATAAAGCAGATTCTATAAATTGTTTATAAAACAGTGTCATCATAGAAGTACAAACCCGAAACGTTCTTTGTTAAACTTTTTTATAGACAGACTGATTGTTAGGTTGAAATGTCAACATATTGTCAATAACGGGCCCTAGATATGTATGAATATAAAATTATAAAATCAACGCAGTCCTTACTGCGTGGAGTATTTATGATCTCTGATGGAAGGAAAACTTTTGTCAAATACAATTGAAGACAATGTTTTATTTTTATTTGAAATTATTAGCCCTTTTGAAATCTTAATTCTTTTACAAATATTTTCCAAGTGCTGTTAAACGAAAATATTTTTTCAACACACTTTTAAACATAAAAGTTTTAATAGCTGGTTTCTTTAATAGTAGTTTCTTTTGTCCTTTCCATGGCAGTACATACTATTACTAATTACCATCACTAGGTCAGTTTAGCAAGTCATTGGACAACAGAGTTTGTTGTGTAGCCAATTGGTAAAAAAAGCTAATAAAAAGGAGCCAATATTATTAATAATAATAATGCTAAAAATAATAAAGTCACACATTATTTTGATGGTCCATTTGTTAAATTTAAGTTACATTGCATCTGCATGCCAATTGATTCTCATTAGATAATTAGTAGAATGTTTGGTTGGGGTTAGCGTTGGGGTTAGGGTTAGTGTAAGTTGACATGTACTTGCAAAGTCTCTTATAGTCAGCTAAATCTTCATTAAAGGAGCAGTATTAAGAGATATTAAGCAGTCAGTCTACTTATACTAAAATGGACCATCAAAATAAAGTCTTAACAATAATAATAACAATTTTAACTTTTTTTAAATATTATATATTTATGTATCTTTATATAAGACTTTCTTTAGAAGAAATAGTATAATAAAACATACTGTAAAATAAAAAAAATCCTTCTTCTGTTAACCAACATTTTTTATTTCTACAACAGACTCATTTTAAGCAATCAACTAATCACAATAAACTGAACTGAACAAAACTTGCTCTTTGAGAAATTTGTTGATTTTAAATGCTATTATGAGAATTATAGTGTTTTTTTTGTTTTGTTTTGTTTTGTTTAGGTTTTTGTTTTGGATTCACAAACAAAATTGTAGGAGATCTCTAAAATAATAAGAGGAACCTTTTAAATATAATTTTAGGTGCACTTCAAAAACAAAGATTCTTTTTTGGAGAACCTTGGGCATCCAATAAATCCTTTTATCCCTTCAGGTCTATTTTACAGTGTGAAAAGGGTTCCTTAGATTTTAAAAATGTTCTTCACACAAGGAAGAAAAAAAAACTGGAGTGATTATTAATGTCGTGCCTTTTGTAGCTGTCCTTTAAATATTTACTCATACTGTAAGTGACAAATTGCTCATTTCCGGCATGCCATAATGACTGTATTATCATTTGGTCCTAATTTGTTCACACCAGCTGTCACCCTCCCGCACACATCTTTTCTCTCTTAGTCCATCAGCAAGATCTTTGTAATGGTTCTTTTTAGCTGAGCTTCAGTTTGTGATAAATGAGGGCAAGATAAATGTTGCTAACTGTGGTGTGGAGTCCTTGGTTTCTTAATCTATTCAGCTAGTGATTTTTGCCAAGGAATACTGATCCGCAGGGGAGTCTGTACACTCGATTTCCCCCTAGCTGTTTTTTACTGTAGTCCAGACTGTGTTCGGTAAACCCTAGCCTCTGTCTGGGTGAACAAGAAAGATGAAAGCCAAAGATAGTTTACCTTAAGGAAAGTGCTTAATCTGGATAAGAACACTTTTGTACATACACTTGCTGTTGTATTTACATCAGATAGGGATGTCTGAATGTCCAGTTTTAGAAATGTAATCTTTTTAATCAAAAATGTAAACAAATTAAAACATTTTTTAGCACAAGTTTTTGCGCAGCTATGAAAAGTGATCATGTCATAGTCAAATGTTTTTTAATTATGTTTTTCAAGGTAATGTTTTCAAATTATTTTACAGTTCATTAGATTACTATGTCATGAATGCAAATCTGAATTATGAACATCAAAGTTAGTATTTCTGGTTTCTGCATTTACCAACCTGAGCGGCATTGCCATGTCATAAAAATATTGATGATTCCATTTACAGATCAAGAGAGTCTATAATTTACTCTTTCATTTCTAGACAAATGACCGTTTTACTTTGGGAAGACTATAATCATTTATTGTCATGTCATATACAGAAACTCAAACATCTTCATCATGACACATCAAGTCAACAAATTCAAAAGCTTAATGTTATGAAATTTTGACTCTATTCAAATATATTGATCGTGTCCAGTAGTATTTTCTACTTTATAATAATAACTGAGCAAAATTATAATGATAATTGATTTTAAATAGGGTGACGCGTGGCGCAGTAGGTTGTGCTGTCGCCTCACAGCAAGGTCACTATTTTGAGCCTCTGCTGGGTCAGTTTGCATTTCTGTGTGAAGTTTGCATGTTCTCTCTGCGTTCGCGTGGGTTTCCTCTGGGTGCTTCGGTTTCCCCTGCAGTCCAAAGACATGTGGTACAGGTGAATTGGGTAGGCTAAATTGTCAGTAGTGTATAAGGGTATCCGCTGTGTAAAACATATGCTGGATAAGTTGGCAGTTCATTCCACTGTGGCGACCCTAGATTTTTAAAGGGACTAAATGATGTTAAGTAAATATTTAGGGAATAATTGCTCAGTTCATTCATTTTCCTTTTTCTTAGTCCCTTTATTCATCAGGGGTTGCCACAGCAGAATGAACCGCCAACTTATCCAGCATATGTTTTACACAGCGGATTCCCTTCCAGCTGCAACCCAGTACTGGAAAACAGTCATACACTTTTGCATTCACACTCCTACACTACAGCCAATGTAGTTTATTCATATCACCTATAGCGCATGTCTTTTGAGTAGGTAGGAAACCAGAGCACCCGGAGGAACCCCATGTGAACACTGAGAGATCATGCAAACTCCACACCGAAACTGGCTCAGCAGGGACTCAAATCAGCAAATTTCTTGCTGTTAAGTAACAGTGCTAATCACTGAGCCACCCTGGCACTCAGTTCAGTAGTTCATCAATATTTTTATTTAACATGAATACAATATAATTAAATGAAAAAAAATTGTAAACATTCGTTCATTTTTCTTCAGCTTAGTCTCTGATTTACCAGAGGTCACCGCAGCAGAATGAACCTCCAACTATTCCAGCCATTTTTTGCAGCATATATAAAACTCATTAAGAGATATAAAGCTCATTAATACTAGCTTTGTTATACATTTAGCATGTAATAGAAATGCAACGTCATTTGCAAATTGTAATAAAGCTGAATTAGTTTAAAATTTAATCTTTAGATGAAAAACAAATCTAAATGAGAAATGTTGATTTGGCAGTTAAATAAAACATATTTTTAGGTGATGTAATAAAATTACTATAAACTAAAGCTGATAATTTCATGCTAATTAGAAAAGAATCTTAAATGCTCAAAATTACCTTAAAAAAAAGTGAAAACATTCATTCACTTTCCTTCAGCTTTGTCCTTTGATTCATCAGAGGTCGCCAAAGGGGAATGACTCGCCAACTATTCCAGCATATTTTTTACACAGCAACCCAACACTGAGGAGACCATGCAAACTCCACACGGAAATGCCAACTTGCTTAGCCGTAACTCAAACCAGCGACCTTGTTGTGAGGTGACAGTGCTAACCACTGAGCCACCCAATTGCTCAGTTGTTCATCAATACTTTATGAAAAAAATAAAAGATAATTTCAAAATTGGAAATATTCTTTTTATTTATTTTCCTTCGCCCTAGTTTATGATTTATCAGAGATCACCACAGCGGAATGAACTGTCAACTATTCCAGCATATGTTTTACACAGCGGATAATTTTTATGTTAATTAGAAAAAAAATCCAAAATACCCAAGATTACTATAAATTATAAGTGAAAGACAATTTTAAATATTCATAAACTGTATAATAGTAAATAAAGCCAATTTTAAATATTCATAAACTCTATAATAGTAAATAAAGCCAATTTTAAATATTTATAAACTCTATAATAGTATATGAAATGCTAAAACATGAAAATGCAACTGGTTCTGAAGGTCATCTGCCCCATTAGCATGCATCACACCTTGTTGCTAAATAATGAATTGCTGATGCATAATGTTTCCAAAACACGTTAATGAGAACTAGATTATGGCAGTGCCTATTAGCACATGGTGGTCTGCTTTCTCTGTATGTGTGCTGCTTTAACACTCATCACCCTTTCTCTCTCTTTCAGGTGACCGGAGTGAGCATTTCCCCTGGGAAGGACCAGCTGGTCGTCTTCCATACCAAAGACAACCGGGACCTGATCGTGTGCCTGCAGGGCATGGTGCCAGCGGGAGACAGCCGCATCGGAGAGCTGGTCGGGACCCTGCTTAGCCACTTTAAAAGGTAACACCAACAGGGGGCGCTCCTGAGAGACATAGCAGGGCATTGTGGGCGGAGCCAGGGCACTTAAGGCAAAGAATGCCAACCATAATAATTCACTCACTCTGCTGTCTGTAATGCCAGTTCAGGGCATTTGAGGACAGAGTAGTCAGCTTGGTTCTGTCAGATTGGTACCCCCCTATGGCTTTTTTATGAAAAGTTAGTGTCTTCTAGATTTAGTAGTTGCCTTTAAGCCTACTAGAAGCTGCCAAATACAAAATGCATGGTGCAGAAAGGAGATAAAATTCAGTATGTTCTGCGTGATGTTTGTTAAATTATGCCCTGGTGTGTCAGGCTGAAGGGTTACACTTCCTGAAATCGATGGGTGGTAGGCATTATAATCGCATTTTTGATGTTTTTGTGTATGGATTGCGAGTCAGAGAAAATGGGATTTGCTGTCTGGGGTTTGTGAAGTGTGTCTGTGCTGAGATTAGAGGAAGGTCAAAAGATACGGGTAAGATGAGGGCAGTCTGAATGAATGTTTCTGTGTCATGTGGCTGTGTCTTTTAGCCAAATGAGTCAGGCTGACAGGGCAGATTATTATTTAGAAACACAAACACACAATCATAAAAGTAGTACCCTAGAAGTACAGTACCCTTAAATGAACTTTTAATATAACACTGCCGTGACCCAGTATTGATCTTTGAATTCATATTAGATGTTTATCAATTTTGACATTGCAAATGTTTTTTATCTATATTTATTTTAACATTTTATTTGTTTTTTGTAGTATATTTAGCCATTTATTTTAAATATCAAATTTTATTTTGTAACATTCCACTTTAGTGTTTCTGCAAATTCAAAAATGACTGTTTGCTGGGTTAATGGTCATGTAATTTAGTCCTGATTTTCCAAGGCACAAAGGAAATATTTGGGTTCATATCAGCTGAATTTAGAGGATACATAACAGAAATTCACCAGCGTGTTCCTCAAACCATTCCTTGTCAATTCTGTCAGTGTGGCATGTCTATCGCCGACAGAGAACTCAGTGGCCTTGAATAGGTGCACAATTCCATAGTGATGTTTAGATACCAGACAGCTGTCATGGGGTGTGTTCTGTTGAGAAAATAGGGCCTAACATTTTCCAAGAATTTGGCGCTTAAAGCAGAAACTGCCATCACAAATTTGTATTGTCTGAGAGTGATGCCATGACCTTTGTTGGTACAGAAATTGTCATCATATGTGCTTGGCCATCCATTGATTTGATCCTTGAGTGACCCAAGCTTACTATAAATGGATTGTTTTCTTCCTGTGCTATCTTCATTTTGGCAGAATCCCCCCTTCCACCCCATCTCCTCCTTTTCCTCCCTTTTCTAAGCTCTAGAGACCTAAATTTTCACAGTATGTCTGCTAATATTTTCTTCTTCTGGAGAAAGTCTTATTTGTTTTATTTTGGCTAAAATAAAAGCAGTTTTAAATTTTTTAAACATCATTTTTAGGTCAATATTATTAGCGCCTTTAAGCTATTTTTGTTTTTATTTTCTACAGATCAAACCATTGTTATACAATAACTTGCCCAATTACCCTAACCTGCCTAGCTAACCTGATTAACCTATTTAAGCCTTTGAATATCACTTTAAGCTGTATAGAACTGTCTTGAAAAATATCTAGTAAAAAATTATGTACTGTAATCATAGCGAAGATAAAATAAATAAGTTATTAGAAATGAGTTGTTAAAACTATTATGTTTAGAAATGTGGAAAAAATTGTCTCTCTGTTAGACAGAAATATAGGTAAAATAGCGCTTTATTTTTACACATTTTTTATGTTACAACCCTATTCCAAAATGGATTAAATTCATTATTTCCTCAAAATTCTACACAAAAAAACCCATAATGACAATAAATAAAATAAAATAATTGTTTTAAATTTATTGAAAATAAAAACCCGAAAAGTCACATGTGCATAAGTATTCACAGCCTTTGCTCAATACTTTGTTGATGCACCTTTGGCAGCAATTACAGCCTTTTTGAAAGCTCAAGTCTTTTTGAATATGATGCCGCAAGCTTGGCACATCTGTCTTTGAGAATTTTTGCCCCTTTCTTTTAGCAGTACCTCTCAAGCTCCATCAGGTTTTATGGGAAGCGACTGTGTACAGCCATTTTCAGATCTCTCCAGAGATGTTCGATAGGATTTAGGTCTGGGTTCTGGCTGGGCCTCTCAAGGACATTCACCGAGTTGTTATGAAGCCAGTCCATAGATATTTTGGAGGCGTGCTTTGGGTCATTGTCCTGCTGGAAGATGAACTGGTGATGAGGGGTGAGTGGTTTTCTTCAAACATAACATCTGGCATTCAATCCAAAAACTTCAATTTTAGTCTTATCAGACCAGAGAATTTTTTTTCTCATGGTCTGAGAGTCCTTCAGATGCCTTTTGGCACATTCCAGGCGAGAAGTGGCTTCCGTCTGGCCACTCTACTATACAGGATTGATTGGTGGATTGCTGCACAGATGGTTGTCCTTTTGTAATTTCTCCTCTCTTCACATAAAAACCCTGGAGCTGGAGTGACCATTGGGTTATTGATCTGCTCCCTGACTAGGGCCCTTCTCCCCTGATCACTCAGCTTAGATTGATGGCTAGCTCTAGGAAGAGTTCTGGTCGTTCCAAACATCTTCCAATTATGGATGATGGAGGCCACTGTGCTCATTGGAACTTTCACAGCAGCAAAAAATTTTCTGTAAACTTCCCCAGCCTTGTGCCTCGAGACAATCTACAGACAATTCCTTTGTCTTCATACTTGTTTTGTGCTTTGACATGCCTTTTCAAATCATGTCCAATCAAATGAATTTACCACAGGTGAACTCCAATTAAGCTGCTAAAATATCTCAAGAATGATCAGTGGAAACAAAATACATCTGAGCTCAATTTAGAGCTTCACGAGAAAGGCTGCAAATACTTCTGTACATGTGATTTGTCAGGTTTTTTATTTTTTATTAAAAAAAATATTTTTTCACATTGTCATAATAGGGTATTGTGTGTAGAATTTTGAGGAAATAAATAAATGAATTCAATTCAATTCGGAATAACACTGTAACATAAATGTGAAAAAGTGAAGCACTATGAATAATTTCTGGAGGCACTGTATTTTGCCAGTTGGATTGTAGTTTGACTACAAAAATAACTGCGCAAGTAAACATGCACAGCAATATCGAGTTGCCTTACACAGACACTTCAATGCTTTTTGTTTAAATAAAGCCTCTGTATTCCCCCAAGTAGACTGATTTTTTTGGTGAAAACACCTTGCTAACGTTTCGCTGCTAATGACCTGCAGTCGTAAGCGCTTTCTAGATCCATCCATCAGCGTGATCCATTCACCGAACAAAAGGCCAGGCTCTGAGGCTGCTTTCCTCTCCCTGTAGATGTGTACTTAACCTTTATCTCTCCTCTGCTGTCCGGCCTGAGCTCTAGCCACCGCACAGAGGCTGCTTCTTCACTTCCTATCACCATTTCAACGGTGACGTCTAGGAAAGAGCTTGTGCAGCAGCTTTTGGGAGTTTGCAATACTAAAACTGTAGTCTGTTTAAATCATTTTCAGTGATACTGAACCTATCACATTATGCACGGTGTGGTCGTTAAGTGACTTAGGATCTCCAGGCACGTTTCGCTGAGGTTTGACACTGAACCGGTTTGACTTTTCTGCCAGAGTGGCTTCACGGGGAAACTGCAGACATAACCATTTTTCCCTGCCTGTGCTATGAATAGATTGAAAGAACAGCCTATGTATTGAAAATCATTCTGACTGGCACAGTCTGTACCACATGCGAGTAAATGCGTAACCCTCTTATCTGCAGTAAGAATGTTGTCAATAAAGTCTCTGATAACTCTGCAGTAAGAGGATTATTTTTCTAAATGTACACTTTCTCTCTCTACATTTTTTTTTTCTCTGAGACCTGCTATGTACTTATCGTTCTCATTATTCCTGCATCTTTCTGGCTATATTCCAACACAGCGATCAGCTTTGATGTCTGCTGTCTCTTTAGGCAGCATTTAACCTTTCTTTACATATAGCATTCTGCGTGCACACAGGTGACTAGAGCCATAATTAATTTCACAGTTGAGCCATGTTTATGTTAGCATGTTGCTAAGCTAAAAGTGCTAATGGTAATAAGCATAGAAAGAGATAACACACACATTCAATAAACACATTGTTGAATTAGTTTAATTTCATTCATACATTCATTTTCTTTTCAGCTTAGTCCCTTTATTAATCTGGGATCACCAAAGCGGAATGAACCGCCAACTTATCCAGCACATGTTTTATGTTTCCAGCTGCAACCCATCAATGGGAAAAATCACAAAAATACACTGCGGACAATTTAGCTTACCCAATTCAACTATACCGCATATCTTTGGACTTTTGGGGGAAACTGGAGCAGAGGTTGTTGAACCGAGCTGAGGCTTGAACCAGTGACCTTCATGCTGTGAGGTGCTACCCACTGCACCACCGTAACACCAAACACCATAGTTTTATACACATTTTATTGTAGGTATTAATTTTGTAAATTAAATCTACAAATACCATGTTTTTTTATTAGAAATTAAATAAATATTATGAAAAATATAGAACTTAATGTTCTTGTTGTGTTGGCGTGGGTTTCCTCCAAATGCGCTGGTTTCCCAGACAGTCCAAAGACATGTGCTATAGGTGAATTGAATTAACTAAATTGGCCGTAGTGTTTGTGTGTGCACATGAGAGTGTATGGGTGTTTCTCAGTACTGAGTTGCATCCGCAATGAAAGGACTTCCGCTTTGTAAAACCTATGCTGGATAAGTTGGCAGTTCATTTCGCTGTGGCGACTCCTGATAAGTAAAGGGACTAAGCCGAAGGAAAATGAATGAATGAATAAATTAATTTATATTTTATGTGATTTCACAAAATTTTTTGGAACAATTCATTCAACTAAGTTTGTGGAGGAATTGACCCAAAAATGAAAATTCTGGCATATCATGCCATTCTAAAACCA